TTCCCCTGCAAGACATCATCTGGAGGCACCAAACTGCTGTCCACTCCAATTCCAGGATTCCTGAGAACTGTGTTCCTACTGTCTCCACCCCCAATATGGGCTACCCTCTGAATAGAGACCCTGGTTTGCATCAGGCTTGGATTTTCTGTCCCCTTAGCAGCAGCAGGAAGTAAGCCTTGTTCAGAGTCCTCCCCTTTTCTTCTGCTATTTGACTGTGAAGATTCAGCTGAAGTCAAAGCAGAAAAACTACACAGCAATTTTCTATAAAGTTGTAGAGGGTCAATTCACCCTGTGTTATGCAGCATGAGGAGGTCAGTGGTAGGTCAGACAGATGCTCTCCCCAGTCCTCACAACCCAACCCTGTGCTGCTCTCTCAACTCTGTCCACAGTACCTGTCAATCTAAAGACTTCATGGGAAGGCAAGGAAGGTGAAGCAGATGAGGGTCATGGCAGTGATCCAGGGGCTCCAGTGACCAGGTGTAATCGCTGTGCCTTGGGAGGTGGCTGGGGCCATGGTGGGCTGTGCTGAAAAGGACACAAGAATAGGAAACCCTGTCCAGACCCCAAACAGGAGAAGACACTTCCTCAGTTCCTGTCAACAAGGTGATCCAACCACACACACATGGGCTGACCCTCCAGTACAGGGCAGCTGCTGTGAGAGGTCACCGCTGGCCATGGAATGTCAGGATGGTCTTCAGTGAGGAGAGGAAAAGCTTAAGATGCAACAGCTCCCTCCTGTTGTGACTAAGGAGGTAATGGATGAGGACAGTAAGGAAGGTCACAGGAGCAGACAGGAGACTTGGATAATGAAGGATTTCCAGAATCTGACGGAACGAGGTGAAAAGAACAGTGATTCTAGGGAGAGGAATCAGTGAGAAGAAAAGTTCAGGAAATATAACAATACCTTAGTATTTGGGCTCAAGAAGACATCCATGGGGAGCAGACCAGAGGTGTGTGTAGTCAGGAGGCAATGACAGCAGGTGACAAGAAGGTGAAAATACTTAAACGCTTAGGTCCATTATTCTCCAGGAAATCTCTGTGGAGTCCAAGCTCTTCCCCAGTGTGTATATACATATACACAGACACACACATAGAGGTATGTTAGAACGTGAGCACACGGACACACAGAACCTTGCACACAGAGGAAGGTAACCAGGACTTCCTGCACACGACCCTCCTTCTCTTACCTGTGAGCTCCAATGTCTCCTTCCTGTGAGCCCCCAGTGCCCTCAGCCACAGTCTGCAGTCTCCCTCTGAGGTTCTCTTCAAGAACATGCTCAGACCCCTGTCCTTCTCCCAGGCCTCCTTCATCCGTCTGCCTCCAGGATGAACCTGTGTCCACTTCATGGTTTTCGGATCAAACTGGAGGAATATCTGTCCATCAAAGCCCAGCTGCCAGGATGCTGTGGTGTCTCCTCCAGCTTCCAGCTGACAGCACATCCTGGCCTGCAGGGTGACAGGGGCTGCCCCACCCCCAAGGAGAGACATCACCTGCTGGTCCTGGTCAGTTCTCCCCTCCCCATTTTCCTCTGTCCACTCCAACTACCTTCCCTACTCTGTTTACCTAGTCTAGTCCTGACAGAGGGTCTTCTCTAATTTCTTAACCTCTGATTTCTTTTTACTCTTCCGCACAATGCCAGCCCCCACTTCCTCCATATATGCTTCTCTCTACCCTTTCCCCACCACACCAGCCCCAGCACAGGCACTTCTCACACTCACTCACTCACCTCTGGGGCTGTAGTTCTCCAGTTCAATGCCAGGCACTCGCTGCCTCAGCTCTGCCCCTATGTCTCTCAGCGTTTGTGTCTGTTCCTCCCCTTCCTTCATGGCGTTTATCTTCTTCCCCAGGAGACTGACATTCACCATCTTGAGGTTCCCACAGTCATAATGACAGAAAGGCTCTTCATCCACCTGGCCTTGAACCTCACACCATGACCGTCCAGGTGGGGACTTGAGCATGATGGTGAAGTTGTAGCAAAGAGAGTGAGATCCTGTGAGGGCAGGTGTCAGGTGAGATGGAGGGAGCCAAGGAAAGGCCAGCAAAGTCCAGTGTCTGTCCAAGGGAATCACTCTTAGGGCTGCTTGATGGACCAAAATGTCCCTTTCTGAGGGAGAACGTGTCTGTCCCCAGACCGTGTGGCCGAGAAAAGCACAAAGAAAGGATCCTGGGGCCAGGACCAGGCAGCCGCAGGGCGGCGCGGAAGGGGTGGGACGCGGGGACGGGGCGCAGGCAGCTCGGCAAAGGAGCCGGAGGCTCTAGCGTTTCTAACGGGGCGTCCGGGGTTCTGGGCGGCGGGAAGCAGCCCTGGATCATATCCCCCGAGTACACTCGGGGGCTGGAGGCTCGAGAAGAGCCCCACCCCACCTTCCCCTCGCACGACTTACGGGGTGGTGTTTCCAAGGAGCAGCCCAGTAGCTGCAGCAGCAGCAGGACACGGAGCGTGCGGCCTTCAGTCCCCATCACGGGGGGCCAGAGCGCACGAGGGGTCCGGTGTCCACAGAGTTGTCTGCTGATTCCGTCTATGCAGGTACAGGTCTTGGGGTCCCCAATAGCGGAGCTGGGAAAATCAGTCGGATGAGTAGGAGCCATTAGGTTGAGGGGAGGCAATGGTGCCGCTCGGGGACTTCGTGGAGGCTCGCCCGGCGCCGGTGGGGGGCTGTAGTCGGGAGCGGGACGCGCAGGCGACCGTGTTAACACCAGGCAGTGAGGAAAGTGCCGACCGCGCGCAGGACCAAAGAACCGCTGAGGCTGTGAGCACCGGATGCAGGGAGAGTCTGTAGGTGCGCAGTCAACTGGACGCTACTTAAAGGCGCAGAGGCCGCCGCTCCCGAGGTGATGGCCCGCCCTGCGGAGAACGGAGGTGAGCATCCGCGGCCCTACTTTTAAGAGGTGTGGCGCCCTGCGGAGGCCGGAGGCCAGGAGGTTAGTGCCGGCTCTGCTCTACTTATAGGTGGCCCGCCCTGCGGAGGCGTGATGGGCGGCGGTGACGCTCCTCTCAGTGCTGGCACTCTCATCGTCAGTGGCACTTGGTTCTGCGGTGGCGCTTGGCCTAAGCTCAGGGGACGGTGCTGGTGCTTGGGGTGCGGTGGTGGCGCGCTGATCCAAGAAGAAAGATTGTCTCTCCAAGATGATTTCCAGGAGAAATCTCTTCTATGACTTACAGCTGCGGAATCCGAGGGAGACAACGCCAGGGCAGTGAGTTTGCTTCTGACATAGTTCTGGGGATGATTGCTCCTCTTTCTCCTGCAGAGTCGCTCCCAGAGACGTCTCTTGAGGGTTCACAACGAATCTCCCTGGGGACAAGGCCACCAGAGTTCCCTGTGCTGGGAAAAGTCGAGAAAAATCACAGCCCCAGGGTACAGGTGGGCGTGGGGCGGGGGGACTTGAAGGAAGAAAATCTGCATCATACCCCCTAAGCTCTTCTTGGTTTGAGGGTAGGTTCAGATCTGTTTTTCAGGAGTCGCTGTGACTCAAGTCCACAGGGTGGCAGCTGACAACCTTCACTTCCCAGACAGGAGCGCTGAGACTCTGTGGTCTCCTAAAATCTTGTGACCTTCACAACAAAGAAGAAACCACGGATTGTGACACGGGGATCACAGCCTACACGTCAGAAGCTTCACAAACACCGAGGTTTTCAGAATGAATGTCCCAAGTGCTGGCAAAACACGACTGAGAGCCAGAGATCTTGTTCATACAACCACACACTCTATCCTCAGTCATACACTTGAATCTTGTATGAAGAGAAGTGTATGAAATGCTTTGACCTAAATTTTTCCTTGGAAACATGTGAACAAAGATGATCAAAATGTATGCTGGCATCTCTGAGATGCAGGTTCATCCTAAGAGCTGAAATACAACCTTCCCATTTCATTCTTTCATGAAAACCGAGGTTACTCATTCAGGATCTCCCCGCCCTCGTGGGAGTGGGTGATATTTTCCATTTGCCAACATTTCTAATGCCACAGGAACTGGCTCAGACTCAGAATGGTTGTTTTCTCTGCAGACAATCTCTTGGATTTTTCTCATTCATGCCGACCCTATGAACAGATGTGAGCCTTGCCCTATTGGGCACCAGCCTCACAACTTGTGTCATGCTCAAGTTATAGTCACTGTGTCAGCCAGGCTCCTACATCTGCTGCAGCTGTCCAGCTGGTCCTGGGGGTGACTGCCATGGGTCCTTGGGATGGGACCGGGGTCTCATGGTGACTCAGAACTGCAAGTTTTCTCCACGACCCTCCCCAGGACTGTTTCTCCCCTCCTAGTTGAGGAGCAGTGAGGAAAAAATAAAAAGTGAGAGTGAATTTTAGTGAGAGAAACATTAAAGCAATGGACTCATGGAATTGTTGCAGGATTCCCCATTCTTAACAGACATGTGGGAGGTGGGACTTGAATAAGCTGACAGGTCTTCTTTGAGAAGTGAAGGGCCTGAAGTCTGCTTTCAAAGGGCTGCATCCTAGGGTAGGGGGACTGTGGGGACAGGCCTGTGTCCTTCCCTGGAGACTTGCATGTGGCCTGGCACCTGTCTAGTCATCTATCACGTCCCTTCTCTCTCTTTACTGCTTTTGTAATCTTTTCTCTCTCAGGAGAGATTGACTGCAAATCAACCCTACACTGTCCTCATTAACACAACAAATACAACCTGTCAGGATGGAATTCTATATATCCCTGGGCAGAGAGGTGAGAACTTACAGCTATGTGTGCAGGAGGCTGCAAGAGCCACGTTGGAATCTTTTCCAAATCTTCTCTGAAATCATGGTGATGACTGGTAGAGATCTGCTGTGCCTGTAATGAAATCTATGTCTCAATCTTGGAAACTTTGACTGGTCCTGGGGAAACGTTGCACCCAGCAGACAGATGCATTTTGTGGGTTATATTATCAGCTTTTGGTGGGAACTCTTTTTTATGTCTGCTCTTCAGTCATATTATCTAAGGATTGTGTTTACTAGGACCACACTCTGTGTTTCAGCACATACTTACTGTCCAGTATGTTCTAATGAGTCATTTTAACTCCTCATCTTATCAAGAGTATGTTTTAATACTGTCTATTGGTGATGCAAAAGAGTGTGGAAATTATCAAACAATAACATTACTATGATATGTAAGCAAATACTTGCTGAAGATTATCCCAAACCCACTAGAACAGTACATCCACAGAAAACTGCAGAAATACAAACTGGATTTAGAAGAGGCTATGGCACTAGGGGTACTGGTGCTGATGTCAGATGGATCTTGGCTGAAAGTAAAGAGTACCTGAAAGATGTCTATTTGTGTTTTATAAACTGTGCAAAGACATTTTAGTTTATATATCACAGTAAATTGTGGCTGACATTGAGAAGAATAAAAATCCCAGAATTCTTGATTGTGCTCAGGCAAAATCTACACCTAGACCAGAAAGCAGTTGTCTGAACAGAGCAAAGGAAACACAGCATGGTTCAAAATCAAGAAAAGAGTGAGTTAAGGATGTATCTTTTCTCTATACCTTTTCAATCTATATTTTGAACAGCTTATTTGGGAGGCTGGATTTTATAAATAAGACAGTGGTATCAGGATTGGAGGAAAACTCATCAACAACCTGCATAACGCAGATAACACAACCTTGTTCCCTGAAACACAGGAAGATGTGAAATGAAGGTCAAGAACTGCATCCTTCAGTATGGATTGTATCTCAACATCAAGAAAACAAAGATCCTCATCACCAGGCCAATATGCAGTATCATGACAGATGGATAAAAGCTGAAGCTGATAATGATTTCACCTTGCTCAGGTCCACAATCAACTCTCTTGGCACCAGCAGCCAAGAAATCAAAAGATAAGTTGCACTGTAAAAAGCTGCTGTCAAGAATCACTCCAGAGTGCTGACGAGGAATGGTATCAGTCTAGAGACTAAGGCGCACCTGATAAAGGCCATGTTCTTTTCAATTGCTTACTATGCATCTGGATAATAACTAAGGATGACAAAAGAAGGATCTAATCAACCCTGTAGGTTAAACACCAATATTGTCTTTCAATGAGTGAATATATATCCCATTATTAGATTATTGCAAATGAGTTTGTTTTGACAAATTATAGTGCAGTAGAGATTCACCACAATGCATGCTGTTTGAGATCTTTCCCTTCAGACGGTGTTTCAACTGATGATAGCACTCATTGATGAGGACAGGATTAGGAACCAGAAAATTAAATGTTTTTCCATAGAAGCAGCAGAGGAAGCACGTTCCCCAAGTCGAGGACTCTCGGGCATCTTCAGAAGACCAGTGAGGGAGTTCTAGCAGTCAGCAGCAAGAGGAAAAGGCCACCAGGGTGAGGGATAATGAAGATCGTCATCCATGGATACCAGGCCTGAGGTATGTGGAGAAGCATCCTCCAGAAAGGAAGCACATTCTTGGACCAGTGGCTCAAGGACTGTTGGGTCAGTTCTCCTGGGCTGCCCTCCTGATAACTCCCCATCTCAGAGTCTCTTCACCAAGGCCTTGCTCTTTCCTTGTGCCTTATCCATGCATCCTGCCTCCTTACCCCATCTCCCTCCTCCAAGGCATCAAACCCAGGCCAGGGGTGGGGGTTCAGGACAACAGCAAAGAGTAAATTTCTCTGGTGGTTTTTGTTTTGCTTTGGGTTTGTTTTTTTTGTTGTTGTTGTTATTTTTTAATTGGGGTGGTTGTCTTTCAGTTCTGAAGACTTTGTTGGAATCAACTTGTGTTCTCTAAGTACATTCAGATATGGAAACAGCTATAACTCAGGAATATAGGTTATTCTTTCCCCACAGGCCAAAAGCAGACACACATTACACCCCAAAAGCAAGCTTTCAAAAATTAATTTTTAAGACTATACATTCTCAAAGTTGCAGATCATTTTTCTTGTCTTTATCAGTGTTATACTCAAAATACATCATAGAGATATAAACAGTCAGTGACATGAAGTCTTCTTGCCATCATACTAAGTCAGAAAGGGGGCAAGCTCTGGTGGCCTAGTGGCAAGAAGCTGCACTCCAATCCCAGAAATGAGCGGTTCAAATCCAACAGTTGCTTTGCTGGAGAAGGAGGAAAAATCTCCTCCTATGCCAGTCAAATCTGATTTGATGGTATACACACACACAAATAATAAAAATAAAATTTAAAAAAAAGAAAGGGAATAAAAGGACTTTAGGATTTAATAAATATAGTAAGCTTTTTAATATTCAAGAGGCTACCAAGCCATAGTTGGATGATTTTAATCTACATCCCTCAGGCCTGTTCTTAACTGTTTTTGGTCAAATATTCTTCTAGGTGGCATAGCACTGGTCTGTCGATTTGCTGTACAGAGGTAATTCATAATTGTTGTGGTGCTGAACACTGTGACCCTGATGTGCCAAATGCAATACTGGTCACCCATGGTGGACAGTGTTTGATGGAGCTCCCTGAATAAAACAAGCTTGGGAGCAGGAGTGGCATCCACTTCCAAAATAGCTTGCCTCTGGAAACCCTATGAACCTGGAGAAAGGATGAAAGTTATACTAGTGTTCTTTTGTTCATAAGGTCGCTGTGAGTCACCTACAACTCGATGGCATTTAACAACCATATTGATATTATAGGAGCTCTGATGGCCTAGCGGTA